GCTCTGCAAATCTTGTGACACTCAAAGTTTTCCAAATCTATTAGATTCGCAATTTACCTGTTGCTGAAAAAATTATGGGCCTTTCTTTGTTACTGCGTAACGCGCCGTAGAATTTGTCTGTAGGCCGTGAACTTGAACCGAATGTTTTCATTTTTTTAGTATAGATAGAGGAAATGATACTTAGAATAGCACAAGAACCAACTGTCTAGCACTCATACTTCTCGAGAAAAAATGTGAATTATAGTGTCAAAAATGTTACTGCGTAACGCTTGGACACGCCGTATAGCTCTGACATATGTTTCTCACATCCACAAAAAGTTTCAGCTTTCCAGCTTGTTTCATTTGAGTTTTATTGGATTTTCGAGTTTGCCAAAGGGTCCTCTTTGATTGTGCTCACAATAAAAGAGTTCGGGAAACGTTAATTCTTTACCAAAACGATTGAAATCGGCAGAACAGAGATGGTTATGATTAGTGAATACGCTAAATAATTGAAATTACACAACTTTGATATTCTGAAAGTCCTGTTTTTCAGGAGTCTCTGGAGATCCAGTGGTTCGCAACCAGATCAGAATCAATCTTTTTCCTTTCTTCATAAAAATAACACTTTATACCCACCTATGTTCTGGAAATTTCAATCGTTTTGGAAAAGAATTAACGTTTGCCGAACTCTTTCATTGTGAGCACATTCAAGAGGGAGCCTTTGACAAACTAGAAAATCCGATAAAACGCAAGTGAAATTTAGATTGAATTATAAATTTTGATAGCTAAGAACTAGAGATCTGTGGCTTTCACTATTGGAAAGTAAATTGATGGGGCTATATGCCTACGGAACAACACTAGCAAAAGTACCACCTGCAGGTGATAAGCCTCTTCAGGACATTTTGCAGAAGGTCACTCATCACTGAAAACGTTTCGGATTTTGCATTTTGAGAATTAGGTAGATGCAACAGACCGAGATCTTCAGTTCTAAACGTGTCTCAGATCTGCGCCTTTAAAGATTGCGGAGCTAGAAAGGTTCTGCGACGACCATACTCTCTTGGTCCGCGCAAGTCCAGAGACTTCAAAAAGACTCGAGACATAAGGTAATCGAGTACCCTGAACATCGCGGCAATGTTTGTTTCTCAAAAAGTCGGAAAAAGTTCGCTAGAGTCATTTCTCTAAAAAACCGAGTATTTGCCTACGGACTGCTAAACTTTAAACAGATATATCTCACTCTTTTAACGTAAGAAATTGATCAAATGTTTGATCAATTGTTTGATCAAGTGTTTTCACGAAACACTTAAAATATGATGGAAAATTAGAATAAAGTGAAAAAAATTATCAGCTATGAGTTTTTAATGGTGAAGTTTTCCTGAAGGTTTCTAGAAATTCTTCACGTTTTGATGTGTTTAAATTAATTTATTTGCATCATATGGCAAATCTATCCCAAAAGACTGGCACAAAGGCCTTCCCGATTACTCAATCCTGATTAGTCAATACTTTCTTTCACAAATATAAGAATACAAATCATCCAACCGGCTCATTAATATCAATCGCACAAAATATTGTCAAAAATTGGGAGGAAGAAGTCTCGCATAAACCCGATCCGAAACTATTTTTCTTGACTTAAGGTAGAATCAAGAGAATGTATATCTAAAAAAAACATCCCTAGTTTTAGTATAAAGGAAAACAATTATTGGACAAGAAAAGGCAATATAGCAAATAGAAACAATAGGCGTCCTGCACCAGAAAATTGGTCTAGGCTATTTCACCAAGAAGTGTTAGTATGGAGCTGTCCTGTGGTTTATAAGGATTTCTCGATGTCCTCTTTCTTTTTGTCTCTAGAAAGTTTTCTCCAAAACCTTCGGAAGTAGGACTTTTAGAAAACCGTGGCTTTTGGACTACATTAGTTGAATTAAAAGTGTTTTGAAAATCACCATTAGGACATGGAACATTTTAAATAACATAATGGATTCAGCGTCGAAAGGCGAACATTTTGAAAAAAAACTAAGGCTTCAATTCAAAATGTCAGTTTTACAATTTAATCTAAAATTTAAAAAATTCAGCTTTTTTTAAAATGAATGTAGCTCCGCTCAGCTAAGATATGAAGACTGGGTTCGAATGTGGTTGGATAGAGAATTAAAACTGGATAAACGTAGAGGTTTGACAAATGTATTATGCGATCTTGGTTTTCTATGGGTTTTTTCCAAATCAGGGGCGAAAATTCGTAATTCTTAATTTCCTCCAACAGAACTCAACTTCTATGTAATAAAAATATCATATTCGAAATCAAGATCAAAAATTGAAGCGACTGATGTGTATCTATCCTATCCGATGTACTTTATTTTTTTTCAAACTTTCAGATTGAAAAATCATCGAGATTTTCACCTATAATTTTTTAAATAAGTCCGTTGAGTCAGCCGTACTCGGAAACCTCCATTGAACCTATAAAACAATTATTTGTAGGCCTCCAGATCTCTCTTCTAAGGGTATAAAAACCATCGGTCTCAAGTACCACGGTGCTGCCTCAAATTTAGCCTTCCACGAAAACTTACAATTTTATCCCAAAAAACTGCTGTAAATTATATATCATTCGATGCAATTTTTCACGCTAATTCCGAATATGTCCTTACTTTTTAGCTAGGATGCATTTTTACTAAGAAAAACGTGAGAAAACGATAAAAATTCAGAGTTTTTGTAAAGTCTACAACTTCGCCCAGAAATGTTTGGGCAAGTTTGGACATTCCATCTAGACGTGCCACATACAGACGAACAATTGCTGAAAGTTCCATTGAAAACAGAGCTTGGATGTGGATGGCGTGCCTACTTTACTGGGCGCATGTTTCCGAAAGACATCTCGTGCAGATAAAAATCATGTTCTTTCCTTTTCGCAAACCCGTTCGGACAAAAATTCTTTTATGAATCAATAGCCCAAGTGCCCAGCTTTCAGAATATATATGTTACAATTTTTAAGCGACTGCTTATTTGACAAGAGAAAACGATTTTCCTCGAGTTGTAGCAAAAATTGGGACTTACCCATATCGACCACTTAAAGCATTTGGATCAAATATTTTTCATCATTAAATTGGCCATTGGCTAGTGTATATAAAACACTATTTAAATCATTAAAAAAGTAGCTTTCGTTTTTTCACCTAATTTCCATGTGATTGCCCACTGTGCGGGATATATGTAGGTTTGTAGAAGAAGACTTTCTCTATCCAATGGTGTATACATTATCAAATTCTATTGCGTACCGTGAGCGAAAAATAAAGGTGACCCCTCTGCTTTTAGACTCATTTAGAAATTATTTTTATTTTTGAGTTAAATGTTATGCATTATAGAGTAAACTGTTCTCTATAAAATCAGACCACTTCCAGCTTTCCAAGGCCTTCCGCTGAGGAGATACGAATTTTTTAAAGCCTGTTACTTTACGCTGCAAAAACCCTATTTGTTTACTTTCGAAACTTTTTTCTTTTCCATTCAGTGGTTGATAAACTTTTAAAACAGTCAGTCTTGTAGAGTAAAGATTTCTCTACAAAATGAGATATCTACCAGCTCTTCACCATGTTTTCTGTTAGAGTTATGACAATTTTGCTGGAAGCCTTTGAAAAAGTCACATTTTGTGATATAACGTCCAAAATTGTCATAACTCTAACAGAAAACATGGTGAAGAGCTGGTAGACATCTCATTTTGTAGAGAAATCTTTACTCTACAAGACCGACTCTTTTAAAGGCAATTTCTAAATGAGTCTAAAAGCAGAGGGGTCACCTTTATTTTTCGCTCACGGTACGCAACAGAATTTGATAATGTATACACCATTGGATAGAGAAAGTCTTCTTCTGCAAACCTACATATATCCCGTTCTGTAGTCAAAATCTTGTAGTCGCCTTTGCAATAATGAAAACATTGCTGATTTTCTTCGTGAAAATAATGTTGGCACATATCACCGATAAAAAAAAATTAAAGTTTGTTTAGAGTTAAAGAAAAGTGCTTTTTCAGCACACTTGATAACCTGGAAAATTTTCTATTGTTAGCGAGGGGTACCGCCAAAAAGTTAAGAAAAATTTTCAAACAAAGTGACGCAGAAAAATCTCCATGGCAAAATTATACAATTTTGAAATTTTTTCTTAACTTTTTGGCGGTACACCTCGCTAAAAATAGAAAATTTTCCAGGTTACCAAGTGTGCTGAATACGAAAAAGCGCTTTTCTTTAACTCTAAATGAACTTTAATTTTTTGTGGGTGATATTGTTTAATACCATTGTGTAAAGACATGATAGTGATGCGTCATATGATTGGCATAAAATGATGAATCTCATTCTGTTGAATTATATAATATGTAGAATAATGATTTATTAGAATCACAAAATAGAACGTTGCCAGTAAGCGATTATACCCGACTTTTCAACTTACTTAAAGAACATTTTACGAATTGAATTAGTGAATAAATAATTAACGTAGTATAGTTTAACAATCACCATGATCAGATCGTACGAGTACGTATGTTATTCGATGTCCTCTAAGAATCTGTTTTTCAAATGAAATTAACATTAAATTAATTTTTCGTCTGTTACTTTGACATGAGCTGTTGCTGTCATTTTTCCATTGGCTTTGGCTACTTCTGCTCTTCTTTTTTGTTCTCGGCATTTATAGTCATGAATTATAGCCTTAATATTTCAGTGGATTGGTTTCACATGTACATGTTTATTGATCAGTGCACTCCATTGGCCCTTGTTTAATGTATCCAGTTGCTAATGTGATATTTCCCAATATCATCCATAATTTTATCTTCCCATCGTTTACGTACACCAGCATTTTGTGGCCGTCTGAAGCTAGGAAAATAAGAAAACATGGTTTTCTCTATCAATCTAGGCCCATCGTCACCCACATTTCCCATCCGATTCATATCATATGAATCTGTATACAATGTACAGCTAAGTTCATGTGTTCGAATTTCGAACACATCAACTTAGTTTTGCAGTTTCTGCAAAACTAAATCCGTACAAGAGAACTGTAATAACTTAACAAATTCTTCTTAACTCACAAATTCTTAGCTTTGCTTCGATTGAGATAGTTTTTTGATACCAAATCGCATTTCGAAGCATATTAAATGCCGTCGACGCCTTTGCTATGTTACGCCTTGTTTCTGTTTCCGTTTCGGAAGGCCGATCTCTCGACACAAAACATCCAGGATAAGCGAAGAAATCGACAATATCAACTTTTTGATTTCGTATAACAATATCAATGTCGGGCAAATCTTTCTTTTCGTTCCTGACGATTCTTCGTGCCGAATCTTCTTTCGGTTGTTTCAACATCATAATACACGTCTTTATTCTTGTGTCACTTTTTTCAACAGTTGTTATAAATTTCTCCAGATCACCAGCGCTGTTACACATTGCTACTAAATCATCTGCATACATTAATGCCAGAATATTCAATTTTTCCCTTGCTGTGTGAAAGAAATCACTTTTTCTGTAAGCTATTTGTTCGGCAAACTTCACACCCTCCACGCTCGTCTCTTCAATAATCTTTCGCATAATAAAATCAAGCAGAATGTTAAACTCCTTGCATAACACCTGTTTCTATATCGAAACTGTCTGACAAAAATTCACCATTGATCCGTACTTGAGCTTTGGAGTTCTTATAAAGCAGTGGTAACATCCAAACGGTCTTATTTGTCAGATCATGATGTCCACAAATTTTTCATAACAATGCCCGATTCACTGAATCATGCGCTTTTTGAATGTCAATGAAACACATAAACAACGGTTTATTATGTTTACGCAATTTTTCCATAACCATTTTGAGAGTGAATATCAGGTCAATTGCTGATCTGTTTGATCTAAAACCGGCCTGCTGTTTCAATAATTTGTTGTCGAGTAAGGCTTGAATACGGTTCAATATAACACGTGAGAAGATTTTGCTCGTTACCGCCAGAAATGATATGCCTCGATAATTATCACGTATCTTCTTATCACCTTTGTTCTTGTATAACCGAATCAATGTCCAATCTTCTACCATTTCCTTATTTTTCCAAACATCAACAAATATATCATGGAGCCATGTAACTGTCGGCAAACCTCCCGCTTTCAGAACCTGTTATATCATAGTTTCCCGGTGCCCTCGTACGTTTCATTTGTTCGATGGCAAAGGTTCTTTGACTTCGGCAAGCGACGGTGGTTTATCTTGCCGATCTTGTTCTTTTCTTTTGGAGTCGATGGTGCGTAAATTTATTGAATAATCGATGGATCTACATCAGTATGGACGTTTAAAAGTTCGCTGAGATGTCCTCTCCACCGAAACAACCTATTAGTAGAGTTCGTAAGAAGATCGCCATTCTTGTTCTGAATTGGCATATTCTCGACGTTTTTATTTCCACCACGGAGCCTCCTGATCATCGCATACGCCGTTGCCAGATCATGTTGTTTAATGGCTTTTTTGATCTCTTCCCTCATTTCATCTGTAAAAGATGATGCTCGGTTCCAATCACACCAGCAGCCATTCTATGCACTCTCACATCCTCAACACTTGGTCGAATTTCCTATGGACTAATGTATAATCCAACATGTGCCACTTCTTCTTTCCCGGATGCATCCATGATGTTTGATGCATAGGCTTGTGCTTAAAAAATATGTTCGTTACGATAAGACTGTTCAGATTGCCATTTTCGTCGGTTTTGTCTAGAAGTATAGGAATGAAATACTGACCGGCCATGATCTCATTGGATCCTAATTCACCACAAATAGCATTTTTTTCCCATTTCCACATGAAAATATTGGCCAATGTTAAAGTAAAGGGTGAATCCATCGCTTCACCAACGATTTGTTTATATAATTTGTTTCCATCAACAACAGCCGTCTCTTTGAGAACAATTTCAGCTAATTGTAGAATAACCTGAATTGGAATGCCTTGTATTTTCTCGTGATGATGCTTTCAAAGAAATTCTTCGAGAATCTGGAGTGCTTGCTTTATCCTGTGGTAACATTGTATACAGGTTCGTAATGTCGCCTGTACAAAACAGAGTCGTTGATTTGAGATGACCATCAGGAGCATATTGTTCCAATTGATGAAGAAGATGACCACCATCAATGATGGGTCTCGATCGAACATGTAGGTCAAACAAGGGTCGAATGTGTTGATCCAAAAATTTCGAGATTCCAGTTGACTACTTTTCCAAGATTTTGAGGGTGAGGGTGAGTTTGAACAAATAAACTACCACGACCCGTTTCTTGAAATTTGAATTAAGTCGAAACGCGTCGTGGTAGTTTATTTGTTCAAACTCACCCTCACCCTCAAAATCTTGGAAAAGTAATCGTTCACAGCTCAGAAAGTGTTAAAATAGGATTTTGAAACGAAATATTAGAGTATTTAAAGGCTTGAGATGAATCGAAAGAGTGGCGTCGTTTCTAACCACAGAAGTTTAATGCAGCGATATTCCAGTGCAGTGTAGTCTTTAAGCACTGCCTGCAATAGGTTTACAAAATGAGAAGAATATAAATTCCTTGCTTTAGCTACGTAAATTTAGAATCTCTCTTTTTGCTCTTTCGTTTCTTAGATTGAGTGAGCTTGAACAAGTCGAAACTCTTTTTGCTGGATAAAGGAAAAGTAGCGCCGTCTTATCTTTGCTCTTTTAAGCTATTTCATTTACTTTTTGTTTCGATTTCGAAAATAAGAAAAAATGCTATATAGACGAAAAGTTTTCTTTCAATAATTTTCTTTATTTATGAATGATACAGCCATCACAACAGATTTAACGATTCCAAGAAGAATATGAAAAAAAGGAACCTTGAATAAAAATAAAAAGACGAGAATCATCGTGACCACGGCTGCATTTTGTTGTAGCCCTTCTCAAGGATTATAACAGCGTCCATGGAAGCAAGTTCCAGCTAAAAAAAGGAAATAATTATAAGCGATACAAGTTCATTCTGACCCCATACTGGCACTTACAACAACATTTTTCATCATTTCCGTTGACTGAGCAAAAACCATCATCTTTAGTACATCCAGCTTTCGTTGGTGTACAGATTCGCGGTTTTTCTCGGCGACAACTGCCAGCTATCATGAAAACAAGCCGTAGACAGATAGTTTATTGAGTCGATCAATTTTTTTTACTTACAAATGCATAGTGCATTGTCGTCACACGGTTGACCATTGACCAATGATTGAAATGGTATGGACTGTGAGCTAACTAACGTTAAAAACAGAGCCAAGACGACTAACGCGAGATAAAAACGAATCAAAGCCATTTGTGTATGAAGTTGAAATTGAGTTTGAAAGGAGTCGAATCGGTTCTATTAAGCCCTGTTAGTGGTGATTGTATCAGAGAAATGAAATCAAAATGGATGTGTTTAAATACATTTTCAAAAGGAAACAGATAACTATGTGCGTAATTCCATATTTTTAGTTTTGTCAATGTATTATAAGAGTATTAACGATTTTGATTTCTAATCCTCAATCAATGGAAATTTCGTTTGTTTCTGTTGACTTCTAAAAGCCTCTGTATCGAGCAATCGAACGACTTCGATCTTCAAATTAAAAGATTAATTCTAACGCTCTATTCTGCACATTTTCTTTTACTTATTGTGTAGCCATTCATACTGCTCTGGTGTCGTATCAAAGAAATTTTCGCATGAGCAAGTTTAACTTGAAACATCGTTTGTTCCTGTATCGAAATTTTTACCACAAAATCTCAATCACTTTCATTTCCCCTGATTTCTGTTCGCCTCACAGTGGGCATTTTGCTGTAGAGCAGGCGGACATATGCTGTAGGAGTGGTATGAAAGCCTATAAACACGTTCTTCTATTTTCGAATATGCTCTTTCTAATGATGAGATTTTCAGTACTCAAAAGTAATTCCTTGTGGGTTTTCTGGAGACCGGATATCTAGAAAACCCATAAAAAATATTTTTGCATTTCGAGAACCTCACTATTCGAAAGATCATATTCGAAAACCTATAGAAAATGTGTGTATAGACTTGTGTACTTTTGCTAAAATAAATATCCAGATTCCTAAGCAAAATTTGCTGCGGACAAGCTTTCAACTCTATAATTCAACTTGATCGAAAATATTTCTGCAGAAAAATTAAAAAGCTATACATCATTCGATGCAGTTTTTCACGGTGATTCCGAATGTGGCATTATTTGTACGAAAAAGTGCTTTGGTGAGAGAGAAAAATGTGAAATACGTGAAAACTCCTTGGGATTTTGGAAAATCCATAATACCTCCTTGGAAAACATGCGAGATTTCGCGATTTCAGAATACATCGAGTAGCGTTTGAGGAACATTTTGATGTGTTTGAATGTTATTTTCACGTGGGGCTAACGAGGGCGACCCGACTATTCTGAAGTACTGTTACTACGGACTGACGTGATGGAGAACATGTCGCTCTTACTTATTGAATTCGGTGCCGAAATATGCATATTTTATTATCAATAGATAGCTGAAGACGTGCTGGTTCTGAATATCTGCTTTGAAATCGCGTAACATAATTGAGTAAGCAAAGAATCTTTATTTCGTATGTAGTAACGATATCCGTAATCGGTTTTGTGCACCGTGATTTCTCGTCGTAGGAACCATTTTCAAAATAGGCATTTATATATCATTCGATAGCCCTTTGAAAGGGCTACATTTTCCACTATTTGTAGACAATCAAAATATAGAAAATAATAATTCTAATTTAAGTAAAACTTTGAATCAATTTGCAAGAGCGATAACCGAGCTACGGTTTTCAACATCACAAAGTCAGTGTGTGTAAAATCATAAATTATGTGTTCGTGTTTTCGCCCAAGCTATTAATCAGAAAAATTGAAAAAGTTTCATGTATGATAAAAATGAGTAGCTGTCAGGAGTTAAATTAATAGACTTAAAAATCAGATTCTGAATGATTTTGATTTGATCAAAGTGAACGAATCCATCTAGAAAGACTTCCAATCGTCTCAGCTCTAACAATACATGTTGACTGGTAGCCAATTTTTACTGTTCTTGATATATATGAAAAAAAACGTTCTGGAGCATAGCATCATTTTAAGATACGGAAGTAACTGTGTAAACCTGCACAATTTTTATACTACTACTATCTGTATCAAAATATAATGGACTCCGATATTTCGCTTATAACTTTTTAACGGTGGATGCTACAGACTTACGGTTTTCAGTTTCTGAAACTAGACGCTGGGGCACGTAGATCTGTGAAAAAATCATGGCGTTCGATCAGGTTTACCATGGTGTACCATTCGAGGCAAAATCCGAAAGCTTACCGTTCCTAAACAGCACTATGAAATACAATCTCCTATAATAC